ACACACACACACACACACACACACACCATGGGTTGTCACAATGCACGTTTTGCATTTGCATACATATACAAAAGCATAAAAGGCGATTCCTACCTTCATTTCTTCACTGTTTCGTTTTCACAAATCTAACGCAGCTGCGACATTTTTCATCTCCTATTAAACCGGTGGACAGCGTTGATTTGCGAGAATAATCTTTCAGAGCATTTCCGTTCTACTGTTTGTGCTTCATATAAGAATTATTTAGCGCTTGTCGCGTAGAAGCTGGAGTTTCAATTCCAAAATTGGAGGGAGAAGTGTGTTTACTGGCATACGGAAGAGAAAAGAGTTATGGTAGCCTAAAGAAAATAGAGGCAGGCAGAAAGCAGTAGCTTCCTTCCGTGGTAGAATACCGTTAAACAGTTATCCCAAAAAAATCAAAAATGTTTTAGCTTGTTTATTCAGTTTGATTGTGCTTTTTTTATTTGTAGAATTTAATTTGGCAACTGTGCGGGTTTTATCCCCTATGGAAACTGCCAAGTGGGTATTTTTTTCAACAGCGATTTTTGGTTTTCTCGATGTCCTGAACGGAAGTCATCTTTTCTAAAACAACGCTTGGTTACACCATAGATTGGGCAAACAGTTTGGGAAGAGCTGGTAGCGCAATTAGTGATTTCCGATAAGCAGGGAGCGCGAGCTGTGTCAAACTACTCTATGTCAAGCTGCTACCACTTCTACTTGTACTTATTTGTGGCAACTGTTTTATGCAGCGCACGGGTCATCAAATTGCGATTGTTGTACCCCTGAAAGCGGATTACGAAACAACAACACTTCTACGGCTGCAGTCACTCGATAGTTGTTTCGGAAAGCCAAAGTCTTTCGCCAGCAACGACTAGATGGCTTCAGTTACTCCTAAGGTAAAACACAACTGCGCATCAGCTGTTCTTTCCCAGCTATTTTGCTGAATTCGGTTTATATGCAAAAAAGAAGATCAAAAAAACACAAAATTAAAGAGCATTTAGAAAAAACTGAAAACGCTCAAAATAAATAAAATTTTTCGAAGTTTTTTGTTGGAGCGACTCGACTTTTTTCAGGATGAAGCGTTGGACCTTCCAATTCAGGACTCCAAAAAGGCAAGCTCAATGTCCGCAGAAAACAGCACTGTTAAGCTGGGTAAAGGCACTTTTATCTTATGGGTGGCGATAACTGTGCTTCTCATTGCTTTACTTATTCTATTTATTGTTTTGTTTTCAATCTGGGCAGTGAAACTGCGGCGGGCTGAGCAACACACAGTAAGTCCCCAAGGCGCAGCAAGTCCCGGAGGCGCAAAAAGTCGTGGTGGCGCAAAAAGTCGCGGTAGCACAAAAAGTCGCGGTGGCACAAAAAGTCGCGGTGTCACAGAAAGTTCCAGAGGCGCAGAAAGTCGCCGTGGCGAAAATATTCCCGGAGGCGCAGGAAGTACCGGTGGCACGAAAAGCATTAGTGACACAGAAAGTACCGGTGGCGCAGGAATTCCTGAAGACACAGAGAGTACCAGCAGTACAGAAAGTACCAGCAGTACAGGAAGTGTCGGTGGTCAAGAAGACGACAACTACTGTAATTTGACAATATGCCAAAGGGAGTAAGTGTTTTAATTCAGTAACTGCAGTTGCGGCATAGTGACACAGTGTCCTCCGTTTTCCACATATCGCATATAGCCAAAGTCACTCTGATTCAAAATTTATCGTCCAACTTCCTAGAGCTTTCTGTTTTGGTCACGGCATCGCATCAGCATACTGGTGATTTGGACCTTCTTCGATGTGCTTCTTATGCCATTTCGCGGGAATACAGAACTTCTCCATAGGGACTATTTGTTAAAGTAGCAATACCAAGTTCGGTGGCCACTGCTGTTACTCCCCGTAAGTGATTATGCGCTACACTGGGAAGTTTCTGTAGTAACCAAGAATGTCACGACTAGTCGGGTAGTCAGTGTGAGTATCCCCTGATGGTGATTTTACTAGAGCATTCCCAGACGTCAAGCGCAGCTCTGACAGGCCATTCGATCCTAGTGCATGCCTTCAGTTATTACCCACTACATTTTTCCCACTACGTTTTGTTTATGTTAAGTTGTCGGAATGATCGCCTACTTTCTTCTGGGCACTACTGACTGTGGTAACCATTTTGACTACAGACAACGTCAATGATAGAAATTCTATCTGTAATTCACTCGGTGGATAAAGTAAAGACGTTTGAAAGTTCCAAAGTAATGGTGTCACTCGGAGATAATCCTCCGAAAAAAGAGCATATATAAATGCTGGTAGTAGCATTGACAGTAATAATAACAATAGTAGTAACAATAATAATAAACTGAGCAGGAATGTTTCGGTCTACAAAATCGCACAGGCATTTTAATGCGAACACCGAGAAGGTTGCAAGTTAAAAATTTTGAATAAATGTTTTGAAAAATAACTCGGGGTAAGTAACTCGAATCTGGGCTCCAAATCTCTTTGTTTCAAGCCGGCTTTACGAACTCAATCCAAAATTAAGGCTGCTCCACTTGTACAAAATAGGAAACGCGCATCAGTAAACAGAAGGATTTAGAAGCTAGTTTTGGATTAAAGTTGCTTTAATTCATTTATAAACATAACGTGACTTCATAGTCGCAAATGCAAAATTGCCTTTTTGTGCTTCAGTCCAACAAAGATTCATGTCACTATTTCTTTTGATTTCCTTACACGTTGATAGCACACTGTTCAATAACAGGTATTATTTCGTGAGCATGAAGCAAATTATTCAAGAAGAAGCTTTTAACTGGTGTGTTCGTTCTAAAAGTGTCTTAAGCTTTTTGCTCCTGTTCCTTTCCCGCATATTGTTTTGCCGCTGATGTTAAAAAAATTGTACCTCTATTTTAATCAGGCCATGGCTCAGATGTACAGAATCGCAGCTGGGGAGCTGTGGAGAATAAAATAGGCAGGAAGCAATGTTTAATTTCTTACACCGACTTTTGAGTATTTTTCGGAAAAGTTTTGCTCAAATTACACTCAGTGTATCCGCAATCGTCGAATTCAAATCTGTGCCCTTCAAATGAAACCCCTTATTTGCTCAACTTTTCTGATTCGCCAAGTGATTTTTGATTCTGCCAGTTTTGCTGTGCCTCCACTGCTGATTATCAGTGTGGATGGCTTCCGGGCCAGCTATTTATCGGAAAATATAACTCCGGCTATTCAACGGCTGTTGCACTGCGGCACACACAGTAAGTATATGATACCAACATTTCCAACAAAGACATTTCCCAATCACTATACGATTGCGACAGGACTTTATCCACCTTGGAACGGAATCGTCGACAACTACTTCTACGATTTCTCACTTGGGGTATTTCTCATTCTCACAAAACTTTTTATTTATGCGAATAGTTTTTCCGCGAACAATAACTTCCGAATAATGACTATGTTCCAGGAATACTTTAAAAAGGATACAAATGCAGCCGGTTGGTATCTCGGTACACCGGTAATATATTTCACTTTATACTTTAATCCAGTCATCAGAACTTTTGGTCAGCAACTTTAAAAAAATCCGGGTTTTTAAAAGCAACTGAAACCACAAAAATCCAATTTCTTGAATTTTTTGTGGGCAAATTCAAATTTTTTAAGCTGAGAAATCTAACTGTTGTTTAAAAAAGAATTAAACACATAGATTTGGAATAACGCGCAGGATGGAGGACTTAAATCAGCAGTTTATTTTTGGCCTGGAAGTGAAGCGCCCGTGGATGGTATTTCTTTACTAACCAGTTCAAAGCATTTATTTCATCTGTAGCTTGCTTTACAAATTACTTTCAAGACCGGCAAATCCAGTTTTTGTGCGTTTTTTGCAGCTATGCAATGAAACGCATATTGACGAGGGGTTGTCTGTGTGTCTGTGTGTGCTTCTGTCACGCAGTTTCATCTCAAGACCTATAAAAGCTGCTGGGCTGAAAATTGGGGAATTTAATCTACATGCACGTACCGACCCAAATCCTCAAAATGGGCGCCATTACCCGCATGGTACTCGGCCCGACAAAATTTTTTTTCGGATAAGTTCGTAACTCGGGGATCTGAGAAACTAGAAAGCTGAAATCTTAGGGTGATATTTTCCGCCAAGTAGGTGTTAATGCACTGAAACTCATCCCCCGGGTAAGCGTGGTACCCGCGTACGGACCCCGCCAAAATTTTTTCAGTAAGTTCTTAACTCGCGAATCTAAGAAGCTAGAACGCTGAAATCTTAGGGGGTGTTCCCTGTCTAAGTGGGTATTAACGAGTTCAAACCCTGCCCGCGGGT